CCTTATCATTTTAGTCTCGTAAGTGGAGCCTGTCGCAAACTAGTCTCATAAGTGAAAATTTTTCGTTGTTTTAGTCCTTCGGCGCCGGAGATGCCCGTGTGGCTCGCCGGAGGTGAAGTGTCTGCCAGGTGTCACTGACCTGGCGGACACGTGGATTTTTTTTTTCATTTTTTTAATTTTTTTTAAACTTATTTTTAATTTATTTTAAATTTTATTTGTATTTTTTTTATTTGATCCAATTAAAAAAAATTAAAAAATTAAAAAAAATGAAAAAAAAAATAAATCTACGTGTCCGCCAGGTGTTGCTAACCTGGCGGGACACCTGGCGGACACGTCACCTTCGGCGCCGGAGGACTAAAACAGCGAAAATTTTTCACTTATGTGACTAGTTTGCGACAGACTCCACTTACAGGACTAAAATGATAAAGGGGTCCAGTTACGGGACTAAAAATAATAAGGGTAAACTGTTTTTTTAGTCCCGTAACTGGACCCCTTTATCATTTTAGTCTTGTAAGTGGAGTCTGTCACAAACTAGTCTCATAAGTGAAAGATTTTCGCTGTTTTAGTCCTCCGGCACCGGAGACGCACTACAAGAAAATATCATTTTTGTAACGAGATTTTTTCGTCATTAAATTCACTTTTTCCGTTACTAATGCTATTAGAGACGGAATTAATAATAGAATTACGTTAGCTACGTGATCTTTAGTGACGAAATTCCATTACAAATATACTATTTTTTTTGTAGCGACGCCCGCGTGGCTCGCCGGAGCTGACGTGTCCGCCAGGTGTCCTGCCAGGTCAGCGACACCTGGCGGACACGTGGATTTTTTATTTTTTATTTCATTATTTTAAATTATTTCTAATTTTTTTTAATTGGACTAAATAAAAAAAATACAAATAAAATTAAAAATAAGTTTTTAAAAAAATTTAAAAAATAAAAAAAATAAAAAAAATCCACGTGTCCGCCAGGTCAGCGACACCTGGCAGACACGTCACCTCCGTCGAGCCACACGGGCATCTTCGGCGCCGGAAGACTAAAACAGTGAAAATTTTTCACTTATGGGACTAGTTTGCGACAGGCTCCACTTACGGGACTAAAATAATAAGGGGGTCCAATTACGATACTAAAATGATAAGGGATCCCAGTTACTGGACAAAAAAGCAGTTTACCCTTTATATTATTGTACAATACATATACAATATTTTAGATTCTAATAAAACACATTATTTACAAAAACATTAAAAAATAAATGATAAAGATATCTTTTTATACACTAGGTAAAACACTATATATGTTAGGACGATCAAAGTTTGGTTGGAAAAACAAACTTTGTGTTCGTATGATTTGGTTTCTTTTGTAGAATGTTTGTATGATGTCATGTAGCAAGAAAAAACAATACATATTAAGGAAAAATATTTTTTAGTCATGTATGTGTCCTTTTTTATTATTTTAAAACTATAACTACACTTTGTATTAAATTGGTCTTACATTAAAAAAAATTTAGCAAAAATAATCCTTAGATGCTGGAGTTGTAGACGTGGCAGCATTGAAGATTGTATCGATGACATGTTGAAAGTATTTGAGTATTATTTTAGAACTATAATTAACTCTATATTGAATTAGCCCCATAACTAAATATATTTGGCATAATAATCCCAAAATATTGTTCATGTGTTATTCGCACAATCTCTGGAGTCTCACGTCAAAAACTCCGGCATTTGTAGACTATTTATGCCAATTTCTTTTAGTTGAGAAACTAATCTAATACTTGGTCATGGGTCATGTATGAAACAAAAAAACAAAAATGTTTACCCTATTTTTTATTGAAAACAATATGTATTAGAAAGATAGTAAAACTAAAACAAACACACCTAATTGTAATATTTGAATTCATTCTTAAAATTATAATCTATTAATAGATTTATAATTTTTTATTATTTTGGTAATAAAATTTATGTAGTATTAATAATTAAAGTGACGTTTTATTAGGGTTGTTGGAAGCAAGTATAAGGCTTTCCTCTACTGCATCATCCGCTTGACGGTTAGATTTTAGATGGATGCGGAAAAAAGTATACTTAAATTGCTGACAAAAATATTTTATAAATATGATTTGTCTATATTATATTTATCAAAGACTATCTTGAGTTTTCTGAAATGTAAAATAAAGAATTTCAAACTTAAAACATTATAGAGTTCTTCCAAATAAAAAAAAACTCTTTCAAAAAGTGAAGTATGCTGCTTGATTGCAGCGAGCACACACTATTCTTTAGTAAAAGGCGAAAGAATAGTTCGCTATGTGCACATTGCGCAGCTGCATGAGTTTGCAAATTTGTAGTCTCTTGGTATTTATAGTAGAGTTTGGGGTTTCTTTCAAACTTGGTTCGATGTAGGATGTTGAAGATTGCATCAACATTGATAATACTTGTTTTTTGTAATTTTAATTAATTAATTGAATAGTAAGACATATAGGCCCACTTTTTAATGTTGGACAATATATATATATATATGATTCATTACTTATATATATATATAATTTTGATGCAAATATATAAATCATTATTTATCAACACAATTAATCCAATAGCTTATAAAAGGAACCTTCAAAATTATATTGAAAATGAGTTGGAATGATTGGGTTTTTTTTTTTTTTTGTTTTGTTTTTTAGATTCCACACTAGCAAAGGAATTTTATAAAATTTTGAATTATCTTCATAACAAGTGGAGCCCATATTTTATAAAAGAAACATTTTTTTAATAAATATAGTGAGTTCTACATTGTTTAAGTAAAAAAAATTATAAAACAAAAAAAAGGGAAAAATTATAATAGATTCATAGACTTGACCACACCTTGATCCCCTGAGTAGACTTGTTCAAATAATCGTAAAAATTATGTAACATGCTTTGGGTAGGGACTGCGCGAACGCAAGTCCCCACTAGCACAAATTATGATGCAGGCTCAACCACTTGGTTGACCTTAGATAGACACCCCTCCAAAGTGCAATGGAGGTTGCCAACCTAGACTATGGATCTTCGTGATCATCCAACAGCCCCATCCAGGTAAGTATGGAGCTCAATGCCCTTCTATATGCTTATATAGATACATTATTATATCATCTCCTTATTGTTTCTCAATGTGGGACAAATATTATGGTAACAATCTTACTATTTTTAGGTTATAAATTTTCACTAATAATAATAATACAGGCCTTCCAAGATTTGTATTTAAGCTGTCGACTTAAAAAGACTAACTCTTTTGGTCCCTTACCATATAATATTTCACTAACTCCAAGAATTTTGACAAAATCAGATCAAAGATTAAGGAAGAAGAGAAGAAATCACAATATAACGTAATTGAGTAGATTTTAGTTTTTTAGTAACTATTTCCTTTTTAAATTTTCAAAACAATGATACACATTGTTTAGCCCATTTAAGTTCACTAATCAAACCCAAATCAATTATAAATATATCATTACTTTCATTTTTCTCAGCCCATATCATTTTTACTTACCGACATTAATTGATTTTGAGAAAACTTGAACTTGATTTATTTTCAATTAATTTAGCCGAATGCACGACTAATTATAAGATAAATATTTTCGAAGCCATGCACGGTGTTGAGAGGGGTTGGAAGATGTATCTTGTGAATGAGTATGTCTGTGTGCTTGTTTATTCATTCTATGGTAGTATGAAGTTGAATATTGTGATACTCCACATTTGAATGAAGTTTAAGTAAATTAATTAGATAGCTTATTTAGATGTGTATACATTTATTTTTGAAAACTCGCAAAAATTTTAGATTTAAATATCTTTGTTATAGAGCAATTTCATGAAATGTGACATTTAGAAAAATTTCCCTTGAATGAGGACAACTTCACCATGTTAGGTGTACGTCTCATGACAATAAATTTGTATCTATCCATAATAGATTAAGTTATCCTCGATATGAAAATTATATCAAATTGAGAAAAATGTAAATTGAATTAACTTGGATAAGAGGTAAAAATGAATTAAATAAAAAAAAAATGTAAAATTGAACTAATTTAGTTGGATAAGGGGTTGCGCAAACGCAAGCCCACGTGCAATGGAGGCCGTCAACCTATGGGTCTTCATGATCACCCAACAACCCTGTCCAGGTAAGTATAGAAAATGTACTTAATTCTTCTACTTATATAGAAAGTTTGGGCGTACTGTTCACAATTATGTTTTCAATGTGGGACAATTATTAGAGTTGGTTTTACTATTTTTAAATTTTACTTTAAACTTGTCCATAAAAAAAATTATACTATATATTTTTGTTATACATATATATATATATAAACTTATTTTTTTTTAGCACTTTAACAATTTTCAAAATGAACACCTTATTTACCACTTACTTAGTTGTGCAATGAAATTACAATTTAACACTATTTTGGTAACATTCTCTTTGCATTACAATAATTCCTCAGAGCAATTGAAATAATTGAAATGAAAATGAGATTTTTATATTGTTAATTAATTTTATTAATGTTATGTATAATAATTCTTCCTTTTTGTAAAATGCATTGCTAATAACTTATTCACCATGCATTTTAAGTATATCAATTCTTTTGGTAGTTCATTTGATTGGTTTAAAACCTATATTAAAATAAATTTCCTTAAATTTATAATACTTTTATAAAAACAATACTTCTCTATCAAGTAGCTTCTAATATGTAAAAAATACATCACAATTATGTACTTTTATTCCGAGTTTCTTAATAGTAATATGTATCTATTTAGTTAGATTTATACTTTTTTAATATGTATTTTTAAATTTTAATTAAAATTGTGAATGTTTTATTATTTCCTTTTTTTTTTAAAAAAAAAGATATCTTTGATATTATATTAATACAATATATATAAGTAGAAACTTGCAAACTAAATAAAAATCATAAAAAAAAATAATAAATGGAAAAATTCAAACTAAATAATTTTTTTAAAATAAAAACAAAAAAAAAACAATCGATTAAATTATAGGGTTTTTCCAAATAAGGAAAAACTCTTTCAGTGTAGTATACTGATTGATTGTAGCAAGCACACAATATTTTTTAATAAAAGGCGAAAGAATAGTTTGCTTTGCACTCACTGCGCAGCTCTACGAGTTTATAAGACTTTAGTCTATTGGTATTTATAATAGAGCTTGGGGTATCATTATACTTGTTGGTTTCGATGTGGGACATTGAAGTTTTCCAACAAACTCAAAACTATAATTATTATTCTTATAAATTGTATCACTTAAAATTATGAAATATTGTTGATAGAATTGGGTAAACAGTTTTTTTTAGTCTCGTAACTGGACTTCCTTATTATTTTAGTCCCGTAAATGGAGCATGACGCAAACTAGTCCCATAAGTGAAAAATTTTCGCTGTTTTAGTCCTCCGGCGCCGGAGACGCCCGCGTAGCTCGCCGGAGGTGACGTGTCCGCCAGGTGTCCCGCCACGTCAGTGACACCTGGCGGACACGTGAATTTTTTATCTTTTATTTCATTTTTTTTAATTTTTTTTAAAACTTATAATTTATTTTTAATTTTATTTGCATTTTTTTAATTTTTTTTTATTTGGTCCAATTTTAAAAAAAAAAAATTAAAAAAATGAAAATAAATAAATAAATAAGTAAATCCACGTGTCCGCCAAGTGTCGCTGACCTGGCGGGACACCGGCGAGCCACGCGGACGTCTCCGGCGCCGGAGGACTAAAACAGCGAAAATTTTTCACTTATGGGACTAGTTTGCGACAGGCTCTACTTAGGGGACTAAAATGATAAGGGGTCCAGTTACGGGACTAAAAAAACAGGTTACCCTAATATAATAATAATAATAATAATAATAAAATCTTAACAAAATCCCAACAAAATATAGCATATTATCTAGTATATTATTTAAATAATCACTCGTCTCTAATCTTATAAACTATCCAATTAGCTTTTTCCTCAATAATTATCTTAAAAAATTCATCTTTTTTTGTTTTTAAAAAAAATTGATATCAAGCAAGTCAAATGCCTTCAGACAAATGTCTTCGTCCTAATTTGGGATCTCGTTGATAACAAGTTGTATATATTTTTTCCTCTTTCTCTTTTATCTAGTATAGTATTTTTTTCTTCTAAAAGATTATGAACTCCTTTAAAATGTTTGTTAGTTTTTTAATATCCCATATGAGCTCTTTCTGAAGAATATTTTCAATAGAACTAGAATTTGTTTCAAACTGAACTCTATTTCTTTTGGGTTGACTTCTTCTTTGATTTGAAATTTTAGGCACTTCAGGTAACTTTGAACATGGTGTAAAACTATATCATTTCAGATAGTCCTACAGACATCTCATTTTCAGCATCATAATTCAAATCTTCTATACGTATATTTCTATTTTCATTATTTCCTAATGCCATTGCATCAGTAGCATTACACAATCCAATAGAATTTTTTCCAACAGTAACACCATTTCCTAAAGCAATAGCCAAGTCCTCATAACCATAACATTCCCCATAGCGCAAACACGAATCTTTTGAGTAAGTCTAGCATAACAATATATATATTTACTCACTATATTATCAAAATAAATATACTATAATATTATTCCCTCCGTCCCAGCTAAATTGTCATATTTAGCTTAAGCACAGAGTTTTAGGTATTGTGTAATTAGTAAGTAAATAAGAAGTGTATTAATAAAAATAATTATAGGTTAAGATTAAGATCACTAAATAGTTTAATTAAAATAATAAAATTATAAATTATGAATTTTAAAATGTGATTAAAGTGTATAATTATATTTTAAAAAAAAAGAAATAACAAATTATGTGGAACGGACAAAAATAAAAAGATGGGACAAATTAAGTGGGACGGAGAAAGTATTATAATATGATGCTTAAAATATTTACTTCTAAGTATGCATTACATATTTTATCTGAAGCTGCAAACTTTTAGTATTTTTGTCATACCCAAAACTGAAGCTAAGCCTCGTAAGGTTTGAATAGGATATCCAACAATTTTTAAATTATTTGAGGCGGCTTTGGTAATCTCTATATGTTTTATTACATTGAAGTATTTCATTAAGAATATAAAGTATTATTTCTTCCATTGTTCCTTTGGAAAAAAAACCAATATTATCACGTCATCCCCGAGTCGCTGCATCAACTATGACTTGTAACAACAAATCGTTTTGTTCCTTAGTTCACTATTCGTAGGGCGTTTTTATTTTTGTATCTTGTTGCGAATCCCCCATAGTAATATTCTATATCAACTATACAAAATAGCTTATTAAGATATATACATTAATAATATATATTATTTAATACTTTAATATTTTTTCATAAAATATATAGCTAGACATATTGCATATAAATAATTAAGTAATTAAATAAAATATATATATTTTCTTATAATTTCTAGAGAATAAATAATTTATATGTATAAACTCCAAATTATTTGCATTAACTCTTGTTTTATCTTAAATAGACCACTACAAAAATATAGTAATTAGTGTAACAATATTGCATTAAATATTGCATAGGATATTTTAGGGAAAATTGCAATAAATATCTCGCACCTATACCCGATTATTATTTTTGTCCACTATTACCCTGGCAAAATATATCTCGCACCTTTACAAAACTCGTCATTTACGTCCTCCCGTCGCACATGACAGTCATGTGACATGCATTTCCACACGCACCCGGGACCCAATAACGCGTGGCACATTGTAAGTGGCTTGTGTTCGAAATTTTAATAAATACAAATTACAAATCTTATATATTCAATTCCAATCTCATTTATCGTCTTCGTCTTCAACCTAATCAAATTTCTTTCGATTTTGTTTTTGGTGTTTCACCTCAATTCCTCAAAGCCGATTGACATCGTCATCTTCCTCAATTTTTGTCGCGAGCATATCAAGGGAAAATACGTCGATGTCTCAAACCACCGCTGATATGTCCGATGTTACTGGATATGTCGAATGCCACTGCGGGATGAAGGCAAAATTGAGGTGTTCTTGGACTAATGATAACCCAGGTCGTCGATTCCACTCTTGTAGATATTATAAGGTAATTCAAAATCTGTGTTTGTAAAAACAAAATTAAGCATATATGAACATTCGTAGATGATAATTAATATATATATTTTTAAATTCAGAATGGTGGAGGGGGATGTGTTTACTTCCAGTGGGAAGACCCTCCAATTTGTCAATTGAGTAAGGTTGTTATTCTTGGGCTGTTGAAGAAATTAGATGCAAAACATAAGTAGATTGTGCTTCTCAGAAAGAAAAATAACAGATGCATTTGTGTTGCATATTCAGTTAGTATTGTTGTTGTTGGAATGATATTCATCGTCTATCTACTGCGTAACAATGGTGCAAAAGGTTGTCCAGGCGTTTTGATGATCGAGTAATATGCTTTGTGGATTGATTGATTTAAATTATAATTGATGGACGGTAGAACTAAGATAATGTATGTGTATTGAATCACGAGAGAGTCGTTAATGTTCGGAGCACGTGGAAGTCTATTTTATTTTATTGTATGTTGTGAACATATTTTTATGTGGAAGTGTAAGTCTATTTTATTTTGTTGCATGTTGTGAACATATATTTATGTGGAAATGTATATTTACAATATTTTGTGTTATGTAATTAAACATCAATCATATTAATACAACTTGTACATTGCTACAATACAACATGTGCATTCCTACACACATTTAGATCACTACAATACAATGTGTGCTTTCCTATACACCAGTGCATTCCTTCAATAAAGAATAAATCATAATGTATGCATAACGTGTGCATTACTACGTATAATCAAAAAGAGGTAGCACAATATCATTCCACAAACTGAAATTGTCCACCAATTCACAAAACAAGGTGTGTTATCCTAAACATAATTCAAAACATGTAGCACAATGCAATGCAACAAAAGGAGTTATGTCATCCAAAACATAGTTCAGAAACAAGCACTGCAATGTAGAATTGTTGTCATTACTACAACTTCTATAGAAAAGTTTGGACACAAGATGCTTCACATTTCTGTCTTTGTAGAAAGGACCATACTGAGCTCTTGCACGCTCACGAACCACTGCCCTTGAACCATAGTTTGCCCAGCTTGCGATCGAGTTGATGGCCGTCTTGTAAACATTGGTTGTTTACCACATTTTGGGACCCTATCCATACGTCGTCGTCGTGGTGGTTCTGGTGCTGAGACAATTGGGAGGATGCGGGTTGCTCCCGTGTCATGCAGTTGCTCCGACATAGATGGTCCTTACACAATCATTGGGTAATTAGCAATGTTAGAGTGTAAAAATTCATTAATAAATGTATATACTTGCTGGTTTTGATTCCCTGCTGCAACCTCCAAGGCTTTTTTCTTTCGTGGTTTGCATCGACGTTTTGGTTGGGTCGTAATCATGGATTTTTGTGTGGAAATTACCTCAGGTTAACTAACTGGAACAGTGGTGCTTGATCTGGCGGCATTCTTTGCTGGAGCTTTTTGAATTCGCTTCTCCGAATAATGCAATATAGATTCCAACTTACTTCGTAAGAGAAATGATATATATTATGTATTGTGTTAGGTTGTACTTACAGACATCCGTCGTGGCCTATGTTCTATGGATGTTGTCGTGGGGTCTTGTCCAGCCACCTATATGTACAAAGAAGAGTCAATGCATGATTTTATATCACAAATATAATACAATAACTACACACTGCTATAGTTCATACCAGTGGTGATGATTCCTCAAGCCGACGGTTTTCAATTGACTGTGGACATTTTCTAACATTGTGTCCAGAGTTTCCACATCCTCTGCAACAAAGAGTCGTTTAATTTTTCTTTAACATTAAAGTTCCAGCTTTTTTACTTGTTTTTCTCCCAGGTTCATCCCGTTCCCTTCGTCTCGATGAGGTAGGTCTCCCAACCAATCTCATTTCTGTTGGGGGTTTAGGTGGATTAAAATCCGTTACCTCCCAAAACATGTCACTGGTGACAGCCATTATGGTAGGAGCATATACGCTAATGTATGTCTCTACGGAGTAGTACTCATCAATGTAGTCTTGAATTTCTTCTCGTTGGTTAGAGATGGCATGTTTGCAAGAAATTCCACTTAGCTGCCATTGTCTG